CGCTGCTGTGCCACTGTCCTAAAGCAATCCATCTGCCTGTCGCTAGCAAAGGCTCCGACCCCAGAACACACCAGTTTTGGGTTGGTAAATGTATCAGAGCTCAGGTGTCCTGGTGAACGGTAGCGGTGGCAGCCATCCCCTCCCTGCATCAGGCTGGGTGCCCACGTGGGAGGCAGAGTTTGGCTCTTGCTTTCCCTATGAATTAGCAACAGTCACATCCATGTGCCTCCTAATCAAAACCCTCTGCAGGCCTCTCCGTGCATGGCCCGAGAGCTAAAAAGCTCCACTGGGGAAAGGAGATAGGCATCTCCAATGGTCTCTCAAATGCCACATGGGTGTTTATCGGAGAGCTGATTCTCAGTGGGGCAGCAAGCTGCAGATGTCGAATAACTACTGCTGCAGGGGCAAAACGAGACGGGAGAGAAGAGTTACCGCATCGGTTTGCTGAAGAAAGGGTGTTGCAGAAGTTACCAAAGAAAGACAAGATGTGAGAAGGAGGTGGTGGGACATACCTCAGGGCCGGGTGGTCCTGGAAACCCGACTGGACCTTTGTCACCGACTTTTCCCTGCAGAAATCAGAAAAACATGGAGAAAAGTGAGCTGGTTCCTGGCTATTGGCTTTCCTCTTTAGAATAGCACAGCCCTGCCAAGCTGTCTTTCCAGCTGGGCGCTGAACCTTTGGAAGGGGGATGAGGAAGCAGAGGATGCTTGGTCACTTACCAGGGGGCCTGCTTTCCCTCGTGCCCCAGGGACCCCGGGCAAACCCTGGCTGCCCTGAGAGAGAGAGACACATTCTTTCAGAAAACACAATGAAGCACCAAAAAATACCAATTCCGCAGGCTCCCGCTCCTCTGCAGCAGAGAGAGGAGCACTTTCTAAGGGCTAAACTCAGCCTGCGGGACACTTGTGGTAATGTCAGTGAGATGCTTCTGCTAAAGCCGGGGCTGAATTTAGCCCCAAAGAACACATGAGCTGCTGCAGTTCGTTGTGGCTCGGAGCCACATAGGCCCCAGTGCAGTGCTAAGTATGGCATTACTCAGCTGAAGTCAGTACTGTAGTGTAGTCACAGGGGAGAAGTCATTTGCTTAGAAGCTATGCGCGGCGTTAAGTGCTTCACTGCGTCAGGGTTTAAGCTGCTACACTCAGCAGACAAAACCTCCAAGTCTGCAGCCGCTGGACCACACACATTCACACCCATCCCCATCCATCACTTCCAATTTCTGCGTGAAGATATGGCCTCTTTTTCAGAAAGCCTCCAATAGAACTGCTTTTATTATAAGTAACAACAAAATCTATATATTGACATGATTTTTAGAAAGGCACGGTGTACCCCAAATGAGAACTATCCAAGCAGGGGAACCTGACAGGAGGTTGCAGATAGTTCCAGCTCATCATGGCTTAAGATGGGCTGAGAAAGCCGGTGGCCACACATACTATGTAAGGGAAGAAAAACGATGGAGAAAAGCAAAACAATTACCTTGTCTCCTTGGAAGCCGATATCTCCTGGAACACCTGCTCCTCCCTGATCACCCTGGATACACACCACCAGAGAGTTAAAATAGGCAACAGCAACGGCCAAAACGCCCAGGTAGATGCTAGACGGTGCATTGTACAGCAGAAGTCTCATCACTAGCTCCATTCAAATCTGAACTGCTGGCAAACTGTAGATCATATTAACCGTAACAACAATCCTGAGTGAAGTCTGTATTGCCCAACATTGTGTTTCTATAGAAGCTGCAAGAAGAGGGACTACGTTCCTCTGGCTAACAGCAACCGTGAAGGTGGTGAAGTGTTAAAATTCAGTTCAACAGAAGAGCTGGTTTAGTTTTCAATGAATGGACCTTTTCTCTCGTACGGCTCTACAGAAAAGAAAACAATACTTGGGGTTTCTGTGAGTGTATCCTAGTGCTGGCATCAAAGATCAATCCTCTTCCATAAGAAAACAAGAGTAACGTCCAGTCATGCTTTAGTACCATCTCACTGCCAATCTCAGCTAGGCTGAGATTCCCTGGGAGGGGTAGGCTGGTCTTCACTGGGATGCGGATCCCATCTTTGAGCATGCCATCACTGACAATATTTCCTGACCAAGCTATCTTTCTTTCCCCCTCTTTGGACCATCCTAACAGATTCTGACTCCCTGGGTAGAAAATAAGTACCCCTGATGGTTTTCTTAGGAGTGGTCAGCTATCTTGCATTGCCTCCCAGCCCTGCTGTGAACAGGTTGTTGGCCTAGATGTCCTCTTGATGTCCTGTCCAACCTCATTTATTTAGTGATTTACTTAAACAATGGGTGAGTCAATAACAGGGCAGAGAAAGGAAAATTCTACTTGGGAAGTCAAAGGAGGAATGACTATAAAAACTTGGTACACTGACAAGACCCAACAGAAATAACTGTTAGAGGAACTCTGTCCCGTGCACAGCACATGCCTCTAAACTTGGCTTCCTACTAAGGGAACAAGCCATACAAGAGCAGAGAGCTATACGTTTAAACATGGTCCACATGGAAGACATATGGACTCCTGCAACAGAGCCAAAGTCTACAAAGAGATGACAGATGAAGTCTACTTCTACTCAAGCAAAAACCACCCACTTGTTATCAGAGAGTTGAAATAATTCTAAGTACTTCAGTGACATGCGGGGGATAATGAAATTGTGAACGGTTAAGGCTTGAGTTGGGAAAGACTTTTTGGAGACAACTTTTTCAGAAGAAAAATAATTAAGCGTTATGCAGATTCAATGATGGAAACATTTCATGGATTCATGCTAAATTTGCTTAAATGTTTTGGTAAATGTTCCCAGAACATTTCACTGAACCATCTTCAAAACAAATATTTTATATAGCAAAATTGAAATGTTGCTCTTAAAAAGTTAAATTAATTTTACTCATTTGGTGTTTAACCTAAAATATTTTAATTTGAGTCAAATAACGAACACGTTGCTTCATCTAAACTATTTTCCATCTGTCCTTTTTTTTTTTTTTGGCAAGGCAAGCAAATGGAAACAATCAGCTATTTACACAGCTTCAGTTTGGATGCACCCCAAGTATTAGATACAATGGAGATGGCAAAAAAACTACTGTATGACCCAGCTCATTTTCCTGCCATTGCCAGATTTCTCTCATCTTCTCTGAATTTTCTACTTCTTTTATCTAGTCCAAGGCTTAAAACACTGAAATCAGCAGGCATCTCCTGCCAGAAGACAGCAGAAAAATAGTTTTTCATGAAAGTGAGAGGTTCCTCTGAAAACTCCTTGTTTTCATCACCTATGCTGAGGGTCAAAAAAAAACCCAAAGGTTTTTTTTTTTAATTAAACAGATTTCTACCTGGACAGCTAAGTGGTCATTGAAATACTGTTTTGGAAGAAATACTTGGACATTAAGAAATGCCTACTATAAGAAAAGAGTTTCCTGAGCATAGCAAAAAGCAGGAACAAACCTTTATCTGACCTCTATGCAAGGTGGGAGAGAGCTGCATGACAGAGAAAACAGTATTCAGACACCTCTGAGAAATGGGCATTAGAGAGGGTAAGAAGGAAGTAGAAAAGACAAAACACATCTCTCATCTTTAGCTGGGCCCCACGCAAGACGTTCACACGCTATTGCAATAGCACAGCAAAATGTCACGGCGTGAACGATCCGTCTGCAACGGTCATTAATATCTTAAAGCAAAACCGAGGACTAGGGTATCCCCTTTCAGCTGCCTTGAGCACAGTAAATCTGAAACCGTGACTCAGGGTGCATGTCCTTAACGTGAGGGAAAAAATAAGGAGGAAAGAGATCAGGAATGTTTATTATTAAAAAAAGAATGAGATGACAAAAAGGGGCTGCAAGGACCCTGCTCATGAGGAGCGGGGGGAAGTACAATCTGAAATTACAGACAGGATCTGCCCATGGGATATTGCCCATGTTTCATGTTTTACCTATAAAAAGAAACGCAGTTTCAGAGACCAGGAGGCCCTTCTTATCGCGACGCCGCACAGAAAGGGGCTGCGAGGGAAGCGGCAGATTTGCAAGAGTGAGGTGGGTTTGCTGTCTGTAGGACGCAGAGGAGGTCTCTGTGCAAGAACCTCATTTTGCTCTCAGTTGGACATCTCTTCTCCCAAGACTTTCTGCTTAGCAATACTGCAAAACTACCAGCGGTATTTTACTGAGCCGTGTACTTCACAAGTTACAGATATCCTGATTCATAAAACCCTTTTATATGAACAAGCGGCTGGGATTTCCTCCACTTCCTCTACCTTTCTCCTGTACCCATCACATCACATGGTCTTCTCAAGACCACTCTTTATTTTAGGGCTATACAGTAATTCCACTTCTCCCTATAAGAGCAGACGCAGCCTGCCTCCCTGCCCCCTCTCCTTCCCTCCGTGAAAACAGAAGGATGACCCATGTTGTGGGAAAACTGAAGCTGTAAAAAACATCATTAACTTCGGTGGTACCGAGTTTTTATGGGGGGTGCAGAAGGGGTTGGCTAGCATTGATGTGCTCTGGGCTTGTCTGTCCGGCTGCTAGATACAAAGATGGGATTTCTGCAGGAGGAGTGGGATGTTGCCCCTTGTTCAAGTTTGTGCCTGGTGTCCACCATGCGATGCATACATCTGGGATTCATGAGCTGCACCTTGCAGAACACTGAACAAGACAACAAAGTCCAAAAACCAGTGAAAAGTATCCCCTCGTGGAAGGGGAAAACCCTCCCGGTGTTGAAAGCAGGTTCCTGCTCCTGTCATGGCAAAGGGGAACGGTAGCAGCGTTTCTGAAAGATGCAGCATTGCAGTGAGGACCTTCTCGCAGCGGACTGAGGTGGCAGCCTCAGTTACACGCCGGCTGCCCACACGCGCCATCCAGCCACCTTGGCATCGTGCTTAGGTTTTAGCAGTATCTGATCTGATGCTGTTGAGTGAAGGCAGTTTTCCTCAGCTACAAAAAGACAAACCTGTTCAAGGCCATGCGCTTGGACCGTGACCGAGGCAGATGGGTTTCTTAGGAGATTGCAGGCATCTAATTAAATCTTCATCAACACATCCTCAGAAGGGCACTGTGGACTGCAGCCTGGAGCTGACGGGGCAGACCAGGCACGAGCAGTACAAGTTGTGCTCCGGGGACCCTGTGACACTGGCACTGATGGCTGCTCCCGCGGCCCCGTGGGGTCCCCGGGCACAGCACAGGCAGCTCCATGTGGACGTGCAGAAGAAGCCAAGTTCTGTAGAACTACAACAGGAGGAAAAAGACCATCCCTTGCCAGAGAGAACATGGGACACTCTCGAAATTGCTATTCCTCGTCAAAGCTGGGCCAGTTTGTGAGTGGCCGTAGATGGAAGGTGTGAGGCCCCCAGGGCTGCTCTCATCTGCCCTGAATTACTAATTACAAAAGGTTACGGACTACTGTCAGCATGGAGCAGTGAGGCTTGCCACTCTCTGCCCCTGCTGATCCAGCATTTCAGGTGCTGCCAGATGTCTAGGGCTTTTCTTTTTTTTTTTCTTTTTTTTAAATATTAAGTTTAACTCTGTATTTATCAGCTTTCTGAAAACCACATTGGAGGAGAAGAGGGGAGACCCAGTACATTTATCCCCCCTGCCTCTGGCCATGTAATGGGAGACTTCTGCACTTCTCCTGCAATAGCATCTCACACCCCTTTGGGAAAAGCCTCTGTTTCTACATGGGTTTATCAGAAACTGCTTTCCAGAGAATCCACCTGACATCTTCACACAAGATTTAGCCTTCGGTAGGCTGGGACTCTGTGTCGTAAGGTGTTGAGCTGCTGCTGGAATGGGCATGTTTAGTAAGGCTGACAGCTACTGCTGGCTGAGCCCGGGCATCGTCTGTGCTTGCTACTGCCTGGATTCATCTTGCACATTCAACACACTTAGTGCATGGCTCAGGTCTTTCAGAGATGGACTAGCCCACTAACAGTCTCAGGAAAGATGCTTGGACAGCTGGCAGACGGCAGCTCAACCCCTATGGAAAATGATTCATCTTCAGCTGATTTCTGAACCCTGTTTACAAGCTGGGGTGTAAGTGGAATTCCTGGACTCTAACACGGCTTTATGCTGTATGGGCTGGGCATCTGCTCTGCATGCTATGGTGCCAACCCTTCCTTCTCCTGCAGCATTCCTGGTGAACACACTGCAGGAAAGCTGCACCAGCTTGGAATTCTGAAATAATTTGCTCTTCAGAGGGAACTCAGGGACCTCATATGCTCATAAAGAAGTACAGCGGGATGGGTGTGCTTGACCCACACCAATGTGCAGAGAAAAGGTTGCTGCACGGTGGCTGGACTGTTGTTTCCAACTAGTTAGCTAAGTTCACCCTAGTAATTGCATCCTCAACATCCAGCAGAGAGGAGAACTCTGTTACTTGGGAGGTGACCAAGCTATGAATAAGGATCTCTGCAGAGGCAGACTGCGTACAACTGCGGTCTGGAAATGTTTCAAGAATGGCAAGAGGCAAACTTTCAGACCGACAGACATAGAGAATACAAGATTCAGGGAGGTTGCTTATGTTTCTGGTCACAGCAGTAAGACAGTTTTGTCTG